CACACACACACACACAAACCCACACACACTCACACACACACACACACACACTCACACACGCACACGCACACACACACACACACACACACACACACACACACACACTCACACACGCACACACACGCGCACACATACACACACATAAACACCCCTCACCTCGTTGACCAGCTGGTCCGGCTCTATCAGCCGCTGCACCGCCTTTTGGCCCGGGAACACCACCGGGCCGCCGCCCTTCTTCAGGGGCCCGCCCACGGCCGCCGGGTTGGACGCGTACAGCACCTGCAGGCAACGCGGCGTTCGAGGCGAATTTGGTTTGTGCTAAGAGCTCGGCTATGAGACGACATCATTGCAAAGGTTCACCGGGGCAGCCAGGGGAGCCGCGCTTGATGCAGTCGCTGCGCTCTGCAACGACCTCATTCAAACAGAGCGGGGTGAACACCGCGAGTCGGCAGTGCGCCGCTGGAGGGGTGTTTGACGCCAGCACCAGCGGCTGCTGCGCAGGGCCCCTCCCCCAATGGTATGATTTCTCGTATCATTTCTCCCCTGCCGAAACAGTTGTGCCCGCACCTCGTAGTCACCCCACAGCAGGGGCGAGCGCATCGGGTTCTTGACGCTGTAGGGCGCCAGCTCAGACACCTAGGGTGTGCGCAAGTGCGGCGCTACTTATGTGCACAAGCGTGCATCATTGTGCGCCCCGGCAGGGCGGCCGGGGCTCGAGCTGCGGAGCGAAGCGCATGTGCCGCGGCGGCCGGCGCCGCGGCAAGCCCTGCACGCCGCCCGCTGCCACCCTCGACGGTGCGCTCGGTGGCGAGATGCAGACGGCAGGCGGGGCCACACCCCTCGACGCCGAGCGAACCCGCCACTCGGGGGCGCCAGACGCCCGCTCGCCCGCGCGGCCCCCCGGCCCCGCACCGCGGCCCCGCCATGCGGGCGCGCTCACCAGCTCCTCGATCTCCTCCCTGGTAGCGGCGCCCGCCTTGGCACCGGCATCGGTGGGCTCAGCTATGGATACGAGCTCCTCCACCAACTCTGCGCGGCGCGGGTCCGCCTTCTGAGGCGCCCCGGCCTTGGGCGCCAGGAAGCTGAAGAAGGCGCGGACCGCCACGGTCCCCGTGCGACTCCTGCATATCGGGGCCCTCACGACGCGCGGCCTCGCGACGCTGGCCGAGTGCAGGCGGGCACTAGCGGAGGGCCCAGATGCCCGGTTCAGCAGGGAGGCCATTGCTGACGAGAATGATTCAGATGAGTCTTTTTATGCCCTCCACAAATTCCGATGCCACAAAGGGCGATTTGCTGCAGAGATGTCGACGGGAGATTGATGATCTCCTGCGCGCTCCTCGTTCTCAAAGCGCGTCAACAAAGTCGATTGGAATTAAGATGAAGCGGGATGGCAGACAAGCCCTGTCGCTCGCCTGAAGCCACAGAGTTGGCGCGCACACAGCTCGGAAGCGGCACGGGTGCACTGCGCCCGTGGTGGTGCCGGTGACGTCGCGAGCTGACCGCCACGGCCGAATCGCAACCTCCCCCGGCCCCTAATGCAACACTATGGTAGTATCTGACATCATTACTCCCTATTGTCACACATGACCCAGACAGGCATTGATTAGCAGCCGAGCCTGGCTTGGCGCCGCCCGTGTGCCTCCACGTGTTCTTTCTGCCCAAGGCACCCACCTACGTAATTTCATGTATGCTATTTCATGTCAATGAGCGCTTCACCGGCAGCCTACGTGGCAATGAAAATCAAGCATGTGGCAACTCAACAGGGCTGCGGCGTGGCCGCCCCAGCTGCCCAGAACCCTGCCAGTGCCCTGCAGGGGGTGCACGCCAGGCACCAGCTCCAAGAGAGAGGGGATTACTCGTGGCGCTGCTCCTCCGCCAGCAACATTGCCCTGCGCCGCGCACACATGCGTGCGTGCGTCCCCTCACACGTACAGATACCATCCTATCCAGTACTCATGGCCTGGGACGCCCGGGAAACGTGTGCCGATTGCCCCACACTATTCTGGATCACCAGACCCTGTCCGGCAGGCTGCCCTGCCACACTGCAATTGTCGACAGCGGGGCACTCAGCTTTCACAGACATCGGTGCGCAATGCTACACTGTCAAAGTGACCACCCCTGTCCCTGCTCCTGGATGCCAGTGTGTTGGGCATGCGTGTGTGTTGAAACCCATCAACCAACTGGAAGGAGACACAGCAGTGCCCTCGTCGCCGCACGGCTGCTGCCGCTGCTGACGAAGTGCGGCTGCCGACTGTTTTGGATCAGCACCCTGCTTTTCCACCTGATCTGGGACAGCCTGTGCCAGCTTTACAGGGAAGCCCTTTGCCGCGCTCAATTAGCGCCTCTCTCCCGGGGTCCTTGCTTTGCCTTGGCCACCAGTCCAGTGCGTAGGTCTGCGGCCTCGCCCTTGCTTGGCGTCGCGCCAGCGCGGAGGCTTCATCGGCCGCTTTGTGTTGCAGCCAGGGCTAACATAACAGCTGCAGTTCATGGCTGAGTGGGCCAAGGCAGGGTCGAAGCGTCCAGCACCACCGACCAGACCACAGTGGGCAGCGAGACGGACAACGCACCATGGTCAAGAGACGGTGCGGCACCAGGTCAGTCACATGGTTTTTCCAAGCTTCAAACGCAATATTTGCTTTCCCCCGAACGCCCCGCGCTAGCATAACCTGCGGTCCCGGCCCGCCCCTGAGCCCAGCTCAGAACCAGCTGCTCGGTACACGTCAGTAGCACGGACCCTGAAAGTATTATTGTCGCGATACACCCTGTTACATTCGTGCCTCGCCCGCGGTCCCTTCGCTAGAGCACAGTGCCTCTTCATCATGCAGCTCTTCGTCCGCGTGCCTGGGCAGCCCACAGTGGCCGTGGAGATAGGCTCAGACGCCACCATGGCCGTGCTGAAGCAGGCGATTGAGGTACGGGTCCCACGTGCTCAACAGCATGCGCAGCGCAGCGCGCCTGCGCAGCGCTCCCTTCCTTGTGTGTCTACCTGGCGCGCCTCCGCGCGTCGCGACTGCACCTACAGGTTCATTCAGGGCGCCTGCGCAGCCGTTCCTCCCTCACTTGGGTACCCCACACACCTGCAGGACCGCACCGGAATCCCCGCTGCCGAGCAGCTGCTCACCCGTGGCGGCCGCGCGCTGCCGGCGTCCCTTTCTGCCCTGCCCTACGGCGCCGCCCTCGACCTCCTGCTACGCCTGGCCGGCGGCAAGGGCGGCTTCGGCGCGCTGCTGCGCGGGCAGGGGCGCGACGGGAAGATCACAGACAACTTTGACGCGTGCAGGGATCTGCAGGTTGGTCCTCGCCGTGTGTGCATGCACACAATCGCGCGTGCATGGCGGCGGGCTGGTGGTGGCGGTTGTGTATGCTCTTTGTTGCTGGGCAGAGCACGCGGTTACAGGTACGCCCCTGCTATTGCAGCACTGCAGAACGCAGCGCCGCGGTGCCGCAGCCACCGAATCGCCTCGCATCGCGTGTTCATGCACTACAGGGGCGCCGCGTGCGGCAGGTGGAAGCTGAGAAGAAGCTGAAGGAGTGGGCGGCGCAGTCCAAGGAGCGGGAGCTGGAGAAGATCGCGCAGCAGCACATACGCGACCTGGCGCGGCAGCAGCGCCAGGAGCGCGACTACGAGGTGCGCCCCGGGGGCGCTTCCGCCGTCGCCGCTGGTTGTTGCAGGCGGGGCGGGCGCTGGCTGTGAGGGCTCTCAAGGGCGGGCTCGCGCAGCCGCTGGGATGCGCGGTATCGGCGCACAGCGCGGGCTAGATGCTGCAAGGCGGCGCCCAGCGGCTGTGGTTTTGCAGGCATAAGTGTCTTGGCACGCATCTGCAACGCGGTATTGACAGCGGGCCGAGTAGCACACTCTCCGTGCGCGCGTGTGGGTAAAGCCGCTCCCTCGCCGTCACTCGGTTACAATCCCCACCCCCGCCCCCAGATCAATGTCGAGGCGGTGCGGAACGAGCAGCGCGCCGCGCTGGAGCGCGTGCAAGAGGCGGTGCAGAGTGCGCTCGCGGAGGGCCTCGCGACCGGCGCGCCCGGCGGCAGCAGCGGGAGCGGCAGCGGCGCCAGCGGCAGCGGCGGGGGCAGCAGCGACACGGAGGCGGGCGGGGTCGAGGCCGAGGGCGGCGCTCCTGGCAGCGCCGGCGCAAAGCGCAAGGCGCCCGACGCGGCCGCGGCCGCAGCATTCGGCGAGGGCGCGGAGGCGGCCGCGGCGGCGGCGAAGCGGCCGCGCAAGGGGATGCTTGATATGCTGGACGGCAGTGAGGACGGCGACAGCTCTTCCGACGAGGAGGACGAGTGATTGATTGGAACAGCGCTCGATTTCGGGTGCATTCTGCAGCAGGGCGGCCCCTGGCTGCGCGCCGTTGACGGCCTCCATGCCTGCCGGCTTGTTAGGCAGGCTGAGGTACGTCGACCCGCTTTTTGGTCTGGCTGTGTTATGCTGGGCGGTGGTGTTGAACCGCAATCTCTGGGAATTCACACGGTGTTTCCTCTTTGGAGGCGCGACGTGCGCTTGTACAGTACAGCCGTGGCTGATTGCTGGGAGGTATGTTTTTGCTCCTCTTTGCAAGCTTCTGTTGCCACCTAGCATGTCATTCAAAACTTCGTCATCAAGCCCGTAGCTGTTGAACAAACGACACTCAGTGAGGATGTTGATCGTTGCAGTGGGCATGTGGCATTCGGAGCAGGGGCAGGGCTTGCCGAGGGCAGCAACCGCGTGCCCCAGCTGTAATTGTGCAAGGCGAAGAGACACCACCTTGGCCCTTTTCTGGACAGCTTGGGCGTGTGCAGCAGCAAGTGGCTGCGGCAGCGCTCAGTGGCCAGAGGGACCCTTTGGTGTGCGGCACCTGCAGGTGAGCGGACCGCAGACTTCAAGTGGCCCGTGCAGGCTGGCTGCATGAATGTGTGTCCGCCCTGACCCGCCTGACATGTGCATGGCCCCGACGAGGCGTTGCCGCACAAACAGCAGGCCGCAACCGAGCGCGCTGTGCAGCGGTTGGAGACTTTGCAGGAGCAATCAGCAGCACGTTCTAGGGTCGGCACCTGCTGTGGCGCTCCAGCCGTATTTGCCGGCGCGGTTGCTCTGGACTGCCCGAGCAACAACGGCGGGTGTAAGGTTCTGGGAAGGTGCAGTGGACAGTGCGTTTGCATCTGAGCAGCATGCCATCTCATGCACCGCGCACGCATGTCCCATCACATGGGTGCTGCAGGCGCCCTGGGTGTGCGGCCAATAGTACGGCATGTTGTCGGCTGAGAGGGCCTTCTCTGAGACTGTAGGCTAGACCGCGTCTGGGGTCTTGCCCAAGCGCGGATCGTCCGTCGTGCTGTGTGCTAGGGCCATGTGACCATAGGGGCGGGCAGCAGCGCTTTGCTCAGCAGCAGGCCGCAGGTCGCCAGGCAAAGTTCCGAAGAATTTGTATTACACTACTTCATTACACACGCGGCCACCATTTCCTCGCAATTCGCATGCAGATCACGCGATCGATGTATCAAGCAGCGCACGGCTGATCAGCTGGGTTAAAGAGTTAACCTTGAGACAGCAAATCTCCGCCAAGAACATACTTCCTGCTCCAATTTGACCACCTACACAGAATTGTCCTGACTGCCGCGCCGCCCACGGTGCCCGGACCAGAGCTCTGCGTTGCTGCCACTTCCCGCCGCCTCAACGCACTCAGCCTGGTGCAGCATGGCCGGGATCAAAGAGGTCATCCTGATCATTGGTGCGCAGATGGCGGCTGCAAGTCTCCAAGCCGGCGGCCCGGTCAGGCGGCGCGGCCCTGGCAGCCTCGGCATACTATCACTTGTCCCCACTCCTGCAGTCAAGCACGCTGCCCCAACCACCCGACCCTGCACCCGCCGCCCCACGCAGCCATGGAGGCCGAGGCTGCGCCCGCCATCAAACGGCTCGGCTTGACGCAGGACGAGCCGCGCGTGTGAGCGAAACACCCAGCGCAGCATGGCCGCAAGCGGCCGAGCGCAGCGCCCGTGGTCGACCCACGGTCCCACGGCCATTGGGAGGCGCCCCACGCGGGAGCACATGCCCGCAGCCGCCATTCTTGCGCAGGCATGCCGGCACCGCCACGCGCATGGGGCGCGCGCATGCGTCAAACCCCCGCGCTCCCGCTCACGCCATCAGCCCGAGCGCGCCCCATGCGGCCGCCTCCCCCGCCATGCAAACTGCTCACCCGCCCCCATGCAGCCTGCCGGCCCCCGCGCCATGCGTCAGCTACTCTGGCACCTACTCTGGCGTTGAGGTGCACGTCGTATGTGAGTCGGCACGGCGCGCCCCGGCGCGGTGCGCCCCGGCGCGCCGCGGCGCGGCGCGGCGCGGCGCAGCGCGGCGCGAGTGCTTGGTTGGTCCAGCCGCGGCCGCGACCAGTCCTTTGCTGCAGCTGCGGCGGTTGCGCGCTCGCCTCCGCCCTCGCGGCCCCAGTCATCGCTGCACCC